GTGCTAATGACTTTAGCAGTCACACTTATTTTGGCCTTAATTTTACATGTGGTTCCTTCTGAACCAGAATTTAAATTTTTCAAATCTTTTTCTATCTTTTTTTCTCTGAGACAGTATCTCACTATGGAGTTCAGGCTGGCCTTGAACTCACTGTGGAGTTCAGACTAGCTTTGAAATTGTGGTGATCTTCCTACTCAGCCTCCCAAATGCTGGGATTACAGGTGTAGACCACCCTTCTGGGCTCTGTTCTGTCTTTTGCCCCTGATTCTTATCATAACTAAAAGTAATCAACATTACACCTACCAGAGCCTGAATGTTGGCCTGTCTTGAAATTTCCTCCACTGTAGGAAGCCATTAACTGGTATCCATTTTATAATAGTGTCAGCCATTTTCTTAAGTTTCTGTTCCCCTACTGAGTTAAGTTTCTGGTCCTTCCTGCCTTGTCCATTCCCCGTGAATCACGTGCTATGTCCCAGGGGAGGGACCTTCCTCCATTGCCTAGATACTTGCTGATGTCAAGAGCCAAGACTTCCTCTTTCCTACATTCCCTTTACTTACCCAGCACCTCCCCTGAATAAACAAGACTTGATCAGAATCCTGTCTTGTCTCCATTTCTCGGGTCTCCTGTCCTTTGTCCCCTCCTCCATTCCCCGCTCCTCTCCCAGGTGACCTTCGTTGATTGACCCATGGGACAGGACACTCCACCAGATTAATTAGTTCATCATCCTTGATTTCATTCTCCTGCAAATCTCAGGACATAAGCACATTGTAGACAAATTTTCTGCCACAAAGTAACATATAACGTACATAGTTTTTAGCTCAAATATAGATGCAGTCCTTGTTCTCAACTGAAACCTCCTGAGGCTGTCTTTCACTGTTCACACTCCCATCAGTATTTTGGTCTTTTAAACTCTGACCAGATTCACTCACCTAGCCCAGTTTTCTACATTCAAAGTCTTCTTCATACCCCATCTCCAAACCTTTCCAAACTCCTTTAGAAAACTACTTCTAAAGGCTTCTAAACCACATGTTTAGGTATAGCTTCAGCAACAACTCCACTTCTCTGGTGCTAAACTTTATTTTTGTCACTTTCTTATTGCTGAAGTAAAATACTCCCCACCCACAATTTCAAGGAGAGGTTCATTTTGGCTCAGGTTTTCAGCCCATGGCCAGTTGACTCCAAGGAGAAGCAGCCTGATGGAAGTGCCTAGGTGAGGTAATCCGCTTGGGTCATGGTGGCCAGAAAGCTGAGGAAGACAGGACACACTGGCAAGGCAAATGCATCCTTCCAGGTCATACCTCTACGAATCCCCCCAGACCCTTTATCCCAACACCAGCCACTGAAGTCATGGTGAACCCACCAATAAGTACAGTACACCTGTGATTCAACCACCTTCCCAAACCCTATCTCTAAGTGCATGCAAGTTTAGGGAAACATCCTAGATCTAACCCATAGAAAATTCTTAAATTACATGAAAGATGTAGATAATGTGACAAAACTAAGGAATTTCAAACAGGTATCTGCAACTCTCCCCTAAAAACTTCAAATCTAGAAAGTATTAAAGGTCATTTAAACAAACCACTAAAAATCGCCCAATTTTTAGAAGTTTTGCAGTACCAGAGAACAGATAACAGTACCAGGAGACAGAGAACACTGGGTAATTGAAAAAGAGAAAAATTTGAAAAGGAAAATAGACAAGTCCACTTTCACACAGGTTAAGACTGAGCTACCCAATGGGAAATATCCTGGAAGTATCTGGATATAAAGAGTGGCTGCAATAGAGATGTAAATTTAGTGATCTTCATTGTAATAAAGGTAACATTAAATATATGGGAAGGTGTGAAATCACATACAGGTAGCTTCTTTTGCATTCTTTTAATAAAACTATTAACAGTTTAAACCAGAATATATTTAGAGCAAGACTTTAGTGTAATGAAACAGGTAACCACCTCTATACTGTTTTGAAAGTCAGTGGCTCTTGATCCCCATTTTTTCACATGGAACACTTATGATGGTATTAGAAACACCCATATCAATTCTTATCTTTGGATTCAGAAAGAAGGCAGCTAGCAGATCCTTCATTGTCAACTGCTGATACTTTATATTTGGCTGTTCCCACAACTCTTTGTAGGCTACAAGATCAAATACATTCTTCAAGCAGAAAAGGAAAAATCCAAAGAATGTGGATCACTGAACAAAAAATATGAGAACACAGAAGACTTGAGGTGACATGTCTTAATCTTCTGAGATCTGATGAAAATGTAAGTTTTCTCTATAACTTAGGTATAAGAAAGGGATAAGACAATCGCAAGGACAGTAGAAGGGAAGAGAATATGAAACATGATGTGTTTGATTTTACAAATGAGACAATGATTAAAGATAGAGATTAATTTTCCAGTTCTTTATTGATATAAAGCATACCAGTATAATATTTTGTTTCAATTAGCATACTGTCTGTTCTATTTCCATTGATAATAATCTGTACATTATAACTGTTATTTTCCTCATTGCTGTTTGCTTTCCTGATTATAGAGTTCTTTCCTGTTCATTGATTGTTATTGTCTGTATCAAGCATCATCTTGTTCTAGCTCTGAATTGTACAATCACACTTCCTTGAAAGGATATTTTTATCTGGTATGAGCTCTACAGTCTAGAAATTCTTCCAGCTGCCATCCTGATTATAGTTAACTCTTACCAAGTTTAGCAATTTAATGAGTTATGTCTGCTCCTAATTTGTTCATTTCCAAAATAAAAGCAGCAGAAAACTGCTTAATTGCATTTGGCATGGGCTCGGGTGATCAAATTAAAGACGTTAGATGAGCTAGTCAGTAGGAATACCAACCAAGTAATGGGAAGTACATACACTGAGAATTGCTAGAGTTGATTGGTATTTTCAGCCTTTACTATGTTTTCTTAGTTTTCTCTGTCTTACCTCTCTAACCTTCACAACCATCCAACTTTTTATTCCTGGGACTTTTTAAATTTAGTGCCAAGTACAATTTTTAATTAGATAAAGTCGATTCTCAAAGCTTTCTCATTGTTTTCAAAATCGTTCTTTCCTATCCAATTCTATGTCCATAGGAGCAGTACCCTCAAAATATTGCCAGAATTTTCAATGCTTTTTCCACAGCTCTCACCAATAGCACTAACAGTAGCTGCAACAAGGATAGCACTGTACCAAGTTTTTTTCACACTACTTTATCAATCCTCATGGCAATCTTAGGTCCTATTATTGCATTTATTTTGGCAGGTGATAAAACTATAGCTTAAAGTAATTAAATCATTGATCCTAACTGATGTAGCTTATGAGAAATAGAGCAGACTTCTCAGCTACCCATTGGGTAGCTCAGTCTTAACATGTGTAAAAGTGTATTTGTCTATTTTCCTTGTCAAATTCTTGTACTGAGATTCAAATACAAGTCCACTAACATCAGCGGTGGAGCTCTGGACCAGTATGATAAATAATGAGTAGGCACTATGACATAGGAAAGAAGTCCCCCCACTAGAGACAAAGAATTCTCTCCCTTGTGTTCTATAAGGTAATGTAACTTGTTAGTTTTCAATTTTATAACATTCTATGTATGTATGACTGTCCTCCTCCTTGAATTGTGCCCTTCTCTCTCCAACACATAAAATTTCTTGCCTTGCATGCCCAGTGCTCAATATCCAGTGGAGCCTCATTTAGAAAACTTTTAAATAAGCAAATTCAAGAATATTAGCCTTATTAAAAGTATAAATTTCATAAAGTAACTTCAGAAACCACAATACCTTTGTGAAAACAAAAATCTTAGTGGTTTTTTTTTGTTTGTTTGTTTGTTTGTTTGTATGTTTGTTTTTCAGAACCGAGGATTGAACTCAGGCCCTTGTGCTTGCCAGGGAAGCATTTATTCCATTGAGCCATCTCCCTGGCCCTAAAAACAAAAATTTTAGAGGCAAATAAATGAATTGAAAATTCTGACAATCAATAGAAATTTTTCTGGTATTCCCAAACTATGATGCCATGTACATCAGTGCTTCTCGCACTTTATTGCAGACAGAAGCAATGATCTCTAGATGGCTAGTTCCTTACTAGTTGAATTATGGTCAAGGAGTTTGTTAGAATTGAAAAATCTCAAATAGCTCCATAAGTCTACTTAATCAGGACATTGCTGAGGAGTCACTGAGTAGGGGCCCTGGGCCTGGCTAATAGGGCTGTACTGGGTACAAGAGAGTGCTGGTAAGGTGCTGACAGGCACAGCCTCTTGTGGGTTTTTGGAGAATTGGCACTCTGCAGGTTGAGCTGCATAGGGAAGCTGCCGGCTTCCTGTTAACACTGCACACCTGTAGGTGAGAATAAAAGATCTACCTGGGGAGTTTTTCTTTCCTGGCTGGGCGAGGGTCGAGTCTGGAGACCTCACAATATCATTTGAGGATTTAAGAAGAAACTATTTTGATTTCCACCAACATGTTTATTCTACAAGCTTGAGTAATAGTCTTTAATATCATCACTAACATAATGACTGGGGTTTGAAATACTACCCACCAACACCAAACAGGTAAATTATGTTGCTATTCAGCAGATGCCATTACCCAGAGACGAGAACGGGAAAGCGTATTGGCCTACACATTCATCACCCTGAACAAGTAAGTATTGTTCCGTATCCCAGGGCAGGATTAGAAATTCCAGAGAACAAGTACACAAAGTAGTTATGGAAACCAGAATACTTCAGCTCAGGGTTATTTACAGAGAACTTTCAGGCTTAACTCATTCAGTATAATCAACTGTGGCTTGCTTTACCTTATGCCAGTGTACACAAGCATAGATCTATTTTTAAGTGCTGTCCTTGGATACATAGAGTAAAGGGAATATGATCACATCACCAAAGTATAATTTATGTGTACTATTTTTGTATTACATGTTTGAAGTTTGTTCACACTTGCCTTGACCACTGTCAAGTATGCCTGGTTCTGTAATACAAACACGGCACAGTTGGTGACTGCCGCCTTCAGTAGAGAAACACTTCCTCCAGCAGAGCTGCTGCCTGTGCTCCCCGGCACTGTGGTACTGTGGAATTGAGTCTTCATATTCCTCCAACTCACCTGTGAGGCTAGACCATGACAGTGGTCTCTGGCCATCAATTTTGTCCTTAATTGTACATGGGAACTTTTTCCAGATACCTAGCACAATCTTTGAAAAAAAAAGATTTTTTTCCTTTTTTTTTTTTTTTTTTTTTTTGGTTTTGAGGAGATAATTACATAATGAGGATTTTCATAGCTTTTGAAGGATCATTTGAACCATTTGATGTTTCAGCTGATGAAACTGTGGAAGCTATCAAGCTGATGATAAAGGTATGTACTTTGTTCTTGTACCACTAAAGCCTATATTAATGTTTATTATTCATTGTCATTTAAAATGTACATAGGATAAAGATACTATCAGGTATACTGTTAGACACAGGGAACTAAAACTGTTTGAAAAATATTATTACTTGTTTATGCAATAGATTGGTCAGAATAGAGTTAGAGGTGTCAGACAAGAAATCAAAGGGAACCAGTGAAGTCTCAGTGGGGACAACATTTTGTCTTGAGCTTGTGGGATGTGTGTGGGTGATATAACATTACTACAATTCTTCAGAAAAGGACAGAAACATGACTCTAACTTTAACCCATACAAGTAGAGTGTGTCTGTTGTCCAGTATGTGCCTTGTTTGATAAGCAAACAAATATAAAGACTCAAAGGATTCTGAAGGCAGAGAACACTCTAACAAACTTATGGGCTATGACTTTGTACATTCAGAGAAAGCTGAAACTCAGAGAAGTCACCTTGCCTAGAATCACAGTGCCAGAATATGAAACAAATTGGGTATAGCATCACCCTTATCAATTTCTTAAAATCATTCACTGTAAAATCAAAAATTAAGCACAATACTTCCTGGCTACCAACTATTTAACTTGGAGCTGATATTCCCATTTACTAAGGAGCATGCATTTAGCCACAGTTACATGATATTTGGTAGATTACTACATTCTTGATCTAACACAGGGAATCTTTTATGTGTCATGGATCCTTCTGGAAGTCTACTGAAGCCTATGAGCTGCTTCTTTGAATGTTCTTAAATGTATAAAATTATATATATATATATATATATGTATATGTATATATATAAAAGATAGCAGTCATGTTGAAATATAATTTTTAAGTAACAAAAATAAAATCTGTGGTATACACACTAACATATGTCATAGGGCTTTTTTATTAAAACATTAACAAGCTTCAGCAGTATGTTTAATAACTGTTAATTACTGTCAAAGTAATGGTCAGTATAAGTAATATTGTGAGGTACATACAATAATAACATGACATAAAAATATCTGTGATTCTTATTGGTGACAAAGGTACAGCTGACTACTGCGACTTCAGTTTGTTGCTTATAAGAAAAATCTTGGGCTGGAGAGATGGCTCAGTAGGATAAGCACTTGACTGGCAAACGCAAGGATCTGAGTTCAATCCCCAGTTCTGCAAAAAAAAAAAAAAAAAATCTTAATTTAGTGTTAATGAAAATAAATATGCAGTTTTTTGCCACAAAAATAAATTCTGTCCATTAAACTTTTGGGAAATCTATAGATTCCAGATTAATAACACTATTCTTCTTCCTTCCCTTTTGTTCCAAAACTATTATAATGATCAGAAGCAAAGAGGGGCGATTGATTGATTTCTGGTCTAGCAATGTAGAGATGTACTATTTTCATAAAATCTTATTCACCTTTAAGGATTATTTCCACATTCCTCTCGCTGAAGACAAACAAGGCAGGCGTTATCTGGAGTTAGTGTATGCTGGAGCTGCTCTAAGGAACAGTTGGAGTCTTGCTGATGTTGGAATATCTTTTTGTTCAACTCTCAAATGCTTTGTTAAGGTATGATGATCAGAATAATATTTGTCCAAGATGTCTGTCTCACTTTGAATCAAGTGGTGGGTGGATTACCTAACTGAAGTAATTTCATAACTTGGAGTTTTACTTTCTTGCCTCCCCTCTTGCTTTGAAAAATTACTCTCACACATGCTTGTACAATGGAGAGAAGTAGCATGCGCAGACTGTACACAGCTCCTCCTTTGAGTCCCTTTTGTCCTCTCCCTTCCCTCTTCCTCATGCTCCCTGGCCCAAGACGTCATCACAGAGCCTACCATGAACCAATATTAGAACAAGCCCAGAGGAAGATCTGAAGTAGTGAAATGGGAAGATGAGGGCTAGGTCACTTCTATGGGACCAAAATGACTAGGGGCAGTAGTTTGGAGAAAGGAGAAGAAATTCTTAGTAACAATGAGAATGATGGGGCACTTTCTTTACCCCAAACTGAGCCAAAGTAGCTATCTAAATTAGGTAAACACCTAAATTAAGTAAAGAGAGCCTTTTCCATTTATAGAATATCCTTAATCAGTGGTGTATAACTTGAAATTCATGGATGGATTTTAAGAATTCTAAAAAAGAACCCTCAAATTGTAAAGGAGATCAAATTATATGCCTACTTATTTTCTGGGGCCACTACTCTAAATTTGCAACCATTCTTTATAATTTTTCATTGATTATGTTTTCATTGTCATTTGACCCTAGAAAATTTTTCTTCTTTCTCTGGTTTCTGCTGTGACTAATTGATCATTCAATAATACTTTATTTAAAATTCATAAGTTTATGTTGTTTCTGTGGCTTCTTTTGCTGTTGACTTCTACCTTCATTTCACTCTGATCTAATAGTATGCGGTGGAATATTTGATTTCCTCTATATTTATTTAAGCATTTATGGCCTCAGATAGGGTCTATTTTGAAAAGAGTTCCATGTGTTTTTGAGAAAAATTAGTATTCTGTTGGTGGCTGAACACTCTGCAGGGATCTATTAAATTCATTTATTCAATGATGTGGTTGAGCTCTGATGCTTGTTGATTTTTTTTATTGACCTCTCCAGTTGTGAGAATGGAGTATTGATGTCCCCCACTGTGATTGTACTGGTGTCTGTCTTAAACCCAGTAGTTTTTGTTTTATGAAATTAGGCACACTACATCCTTAAGCCAGCCCAGGTCACTGCCCCCATCATCCTGGGTGTCACATGTGTGAGGGAATTAGCCACTTAGAAATGGACTTCCAGCCCCAAGCATTCCAAGCTCTAGCCTCTCAAGGCACTACAATCGAGTCTCTAGACATTATGAGAAGTATTATACTCCTCTTGTGTGTTTTGAAATTCCTAACCTGTGCAAATATTACTGTTTTACACCATGAAAGTTTGAAACAGTTTACTGCTCAGCAATATATAATAAGAACAATTAATAACTCTGAAGACTTTAAAATAAAAGAAAGAAAGAAAGAAAGAAAGAAATTAGGTGCACTAACATTTGATGCATAGACTTGACAATTGTTATCTCTTCCTCTTTTTGCTAAATTTCTGTTTCTTTGGTATCTGAATTCCAGATTTTGAGAGTTTGTACTTTGCTATTGGTCTTTTCTCTTTACTTTTAATCCTCTAGAGTCTCAAAATTCTTGCAATGATTTTTTTTCAAGTGACTCAGAGTGTAAGAGCTGCTTCTCCAAGACAAAAGCATTATTCTGTGCTGATTCTTTATCTCATGTGAACACATAAGCTGCAAAAATCTTAGCACAGTGTATGCTCTCTATGAAATGGGGAAATTATTTTCTCATGTTAGCATTAAAAATCCTCATAATAGTCAAAATTAAGTCTTTGAATATGACTTATCGATTCCTAAATGAATATTTAAAAGAAATGCTCTCCAACACTAAGTAGAAAAGATGTCACAAAAGCCATTACAGAAGGCTATTTAAGCAAAAACACCACAATAATGTTGTAATATTTTATAGGTGTTCTTTCATGTAGCTTTGTATTCTTTTTTGCGGTGATATTTCCATTTATTTCAGTTTCAATAATAAAATTTTTCTCTTACATGATTGAACACGTATTTTTCATTAAAATTAACAGTCACAATGGAAGAAACAGTGGCTTATCTTTCTGATGAAGGGACCAAGCTGCTAAATCTTAAGGCCTCAACAAACGTCGTTTCAACCAGACCTTTTATTTTGATTATTCCTGGTGAGCAGCAATCGTGCTTCTCCAGTGGTTTCCATCTGCCAAATGGTCACGACAGTTGTTCTGACACGGTGCCCACTACTTCCAGAGATTCTACCAGACGCAGCCTCTTTCCCAGAGCAACACCTATGGCAGCCTCCACTCAAGTCCATCCATTGGGACTTCTCTATCAAGGCTGGCCAACAAGTCCTGCTTTAGCTGCCAAGGCTTCGTTCTGCTGAATATGGTATTCCTGAAATCTCATGGATATTCTTTGTGTCATTTTAAAATATTTCTATAAGCAGTGTTCTGAACAGGTGATCCCTTCAGCTTTTACTTCTCTTGTTGTGAAGTCCTTAACACAGTCCAAAAAGCAGGTTTCTGTAAGTTTATTGTAGGTTCCAGGAATTCCCTAAACTGTTTTATCTGATCAGATTCTGATATCTGTGCAGCCATATTCTTTTGGTATATTTATGAGTCACCTTTTCTGATGCATGAGTTTCCTCAGTTCCTAAGAAGTACTTCTCCAACCTCTGCTCAGTGTTTCCAGTGAGGCCTGATTTCTCACCGGCTTTCGCATCTACACGCAGCTGGGGGCTGTGGCTGCCATGGAGAACGAAGGCTGGCGGGCAGGTGGACGGGGTTAAGGCCTGTATTCTTTTTTTATTTTTCTTTTTTTTTTTAATGAGCAGAATATATTTTTTGAAAGAAAGAAAGCTCCTGTCCAAGAGAGGGACAGGAGGGGGCCCAAGCAGGTAGTTTCCCCAAAGCATCTTTTAAGCTCTCTCTCTCTCTCTCTCTTTTTTTTTTTTTCCGGACCAGGGATTGAACTCAGCTCTTGCACTTGCCAGCGAAGTGCTTATTCCACTGAGCTATCTCCCAGGCCCAAGGCCTGTATTCTTGAAGAATGTTTAATTAGTCAAATATGACATTAAGGGGACTGGGGAGATGGCTCAGTAGAATAAGTGCTTACCTAGCAAGGGCAAGAGCCTGAGTTCAATCCCCAGTTCAAAAAAAAAAAAAAAAGATGACGTTAAAATAATTGTGTTTTTTTCTCATTTTCTAGCTATGCTATTCAGAAAATGACCAAATTCTATGTTTCTTCTTAAATGCTTTTATCTTTATATTAATATATTTACATATTATGTTTTGGGTGCTGTACAGGATAGAACCTGTAATTTTTTAAGTTTTCTAATGTCAATAATAATTCTTAAGACCAAAAATTAGAGAAAAAGGAGGGCCACAAGGAAAGCCAATATTTTGGCCTTAGCCTTTCAAGGTCATAATTAAGACTCAGGACATATGAGAACCTATACTGTAATATCCTGTAACTATCCTATACTATAATATCCTGTCCCAAATTTACTGATCAAGATTATAGGGCCACAGAGGAAAGCGATCAATCATGTAGAGTGTGCCTAAGGAGAGTCACATGGAGAGAAAACATTCTCTCAGGCTCTCACAGAGAGCAAATTGGTCAAGCAATGGTCGTGACTCATTCACATGGCTGGCACTGACAAAGGATCTAAAAACTGCAGTATAGGCTTTCAGGGTAAATCCTGAGGGGATTTGACTGAACTTATCAGATACAAAAGTTACATTTCTTGTTTTATAGGTCTTGCTTTATCTTGCTTTTAACCATCCAGCAGAAAAGTATAAAAACAGGGTATAAAAAGTAAAGCCATATTAATATGCTGAGCTCAAGTCAACAACTTCTGACATTGCCAGTCCTAGGGATAACCCACTACTATTATGGACTACTGGACTATATTGGATTATTTTGCTGAATTCACAAACCTGCAATATTTAAATGGCAACGGAATACCCATCTCTGACAAAATTAAACAAAAAAAGAGGTTACAAATGAAGGACTATTTTATGTCTGTATATACAAAATAGGATAGATATACAGCTACTTTCTCTTAATTCAACAAGAAGCAAGATTTGCACTAATAGTGTTTGGACAGGAAATCATGTCTGCATCTTATACTATGAATAACCACTACAAAGACAACAATATGCAGTGTATTAATTATTGAAACTGTCCCACTAATCGGTTTTGAAACTGTCTCATTGCTATTTGTTTCTCAATAAAATTTTTAAAAAATAAAACTTAAACAACAACAACAAAAACAATAATGCTTAGGGCCAGCAAGATAGCTCAGCAGACTAAGTGCCTGCTTCAGCAAGTTCAGGGACAGGGGTTCGATCCTCTGGCACCACATGCCACACTGGCCCCACCCCCAGGTGCACTAAGCCAGTCACAGAGACCTGGCATGGTGGTACATGCCTGTAATCCCAGCACTGGGGAAGCTAAAAAACAGGAGGATCATTACAAGTCCAAGCTGCATAGTAAGACCCTGTACCACATACATAAAAATAATAACAATAATAATACTTAAGTATTTAATTGTTTATTTGCTTCAAGTGATATAAAGTTGGTACTAATGTTTCAGCTGATTGGTGAAGTTCATGGACAGAGATAAAGTACACTGCAATGTGAGTTTATTCCATTTAACTAAGGAATTTTTTTATTTCCAATAAAATTTTATTTATGTTTGACTAGGTAGCACATTTTCATGGTCTTGTTTCAAGAGAGGCAAACAGTAAAATGTAAAATATCTCCCTTCTCTGGTCTCTAGTTTACTTCCCTGGGAACAACATATGTTCATAGTTTGGCTGTTGAAGCATATCATTACTTTTTCTCATAAATCATTATCTGCCACAGTAATGCAAACTTGGAACTGAAAATTCTAATGACAGAAACCTGATAATAGGTAAAAGAATTTATTCAGGACAGTCAAGGCAGAATATCATCGTGAGTCTTAGGGCTGGCTAACATTTAGGATTTTATTAAAACCTCTCAAGTTCCATAGAAATTTTTTTTCTTTAAGTATTTGGTACAGGGTCTCACTACACAGCTTTGACTCGTAGTGATCCTCCTGTTTTCAGCCTGCCCAGCACTGGGATTACAACAGTGTACCACCACGCCCGGTCTTGGTGGCCAGCGTAGTGTGCCTGGGGGCGGGGCTGGTGCAGCTTGTGTCTGGGGATCAAACGCCACCTGATCCCTGCACTTGCCTCAGCAGGTGCTTAGTCCACTGAGCTCTCTCACCAGCCCTTCCATGAAAATTTTATTGATCTCTATTTTACTTTGTCCAACAGAATCAAATTTAGAGAATTGCTGCCACTAATTTTAAGAAGGAAGAAAATATGCATTTTAATCTGAAGGAAGAATGCTGGCTTCCATGAAACTCAGTTCCTGTTTAGGTTGGATAATAAAGCAGGTCTATTCCAAAAGCTCAGCCTCGGTACTATATAGTCCAGGATAGTAGCAAAAAATGGTCTTACAATGACAAAAAGACTTCATTAAAAATATTCCAGAAATATTTAATTGCTCCACCTCAATGCTGTTGCATCTATGTCATGCAATCCAAGGCTGCTTTTCATGTGATGCTATTGTTCTATTGCATAGTTAAATGTGCAGCACTTAAGTAGCACCTTGCGTCTTTCTAGTTAACTATGATATTTTGTGCAAGTTAGTCCTACCTTCTGAGAATCTAGGAAGATTAGAGTCTTTTCATTTATTTTGGTATAACTCAGAAATATCATGATGTGAACAAAACATTTTTGCAGGTTC